GGTACTAGATAACTGATACATAGAATTTTTTTTTCTAAATCATTATTATATATAAAAAAGGACAATTAACACCATCAACACCGCCGAAACAAACAGACAGCCAGACAGACAGATAAAAATGGTAAAAAATATTATTTTATTATATGTACCGTATTTATATTCATATGCATGTAGTAAAAAACGGTTATTTCAATATTACAAACAGACACTACAATTTTATTTATAAAATATAGATGTATAGATATTAATCCATTACAAGGATTAATTAATTAAAAATGAGGTAAATGATTAATCAAATAACAATAACAAAATGTACAATGTCAACATTGTTATCTTATAATATTGTTATCAAATAGATAAGGCGGTTGGATCAAACGTAAAATAATTTTATCATCGCACCGCTCGCCATCGACAGGGAATTCATCCCTACACGCTGGAGTCTAAGTGGTCTCGGACAGTGCGGTCTCTGAGGAGCTTCCTCCCGCGTACACTTACAATGTGGAATGAACTACCTGCCGAAGTTTCCTCACGAGACTACAGCATGGGGTTTTTCAAGAAGGGTATATTAAGGTTTCTTAAGGGTCGGCAACGCGCACGTGACACTCCTGGTGTTTCAGGCGTCCATAGGCTACGGTAACCATTTACCATCAGATGGGCCGTATGCCTGTTTGCCACCATAGTAGTATAAAAAAAACTTTATATTTTATTAATATTATAACTAGCTACTTGCCCCGGACGGACAAATGTACACGTATTATATACATAAACCTCCATCTTGATCCCCACTATCTATTAAAAAAACCGCTTCAAAATCCGTTGCGTAGTTTTAAAGATTTAAGCATACATAAGGACGGACAGCGACAGCGACTTATACTATGTAATAAAATAATAATGCGAAAGTTTGTGAGTATGGATAGATGTTTGTTTCTCTTTCACGCAAATACTACTGAACGGATTTTGATGAAACTTTACAGTAACATAGCTTATACATCAGAATAACAGTCTACAAATTTCATGCAGGTCAAATCGCGGGCACAGCTAGTATACCATAATCTACACGACCGCGATTCTTATAGCACCATTAAATTCAAATTCTCCATTGACCCTAAATCCATATCTGATAAATATCAAAACATATTAATGAATAATTCATAAATTAGCCCTTCTCATATCCAGATCAGATGTTACTAGAATCCAACAAATTTGGAAAGTCGCTAAAACCGAACCAGTCGAGTTACATTGGGTTCAATTTAAATTGGAAGGGTTTTCGTAAAAACGAGTATTTTTAACCGTGTTTCACTTCAAGTATTAATTATTCAACTATAATACCAGGTCATAGGGCTTGGTACATCAGCTGTTCGAATTTGGTATTTAGATTTGTCGGAACATGAAAACGGAAAGTGTTAAAATCGATGTTGAGTCCCAGAGAAAGCTGGGGTCCCAGTGACCTAAGTATGTATCCATGTATCGCTATTTATCTATACATACATATATATAAAATTGGAGTGTCTGTTTGTAACATTAAGATAACCGTTTTTTACTACATGCCTATGAATATAAATACGGTACATACACCAAAATAACATTTTTTACAATTTTTGTATGTCTCTCTGTTTGTTCCGGCTAATCTCTGAAATGGCTGGACCGATTTTGACGGGACTTTTATTGGCAGGTAGCTAATGTAATAAGGAGTAACTTAGGTTACTTTTATTTTAGAAAAATAAAGTTAATTTAAATGAAGAAGACAAATCTGCGCCCATGAGGGTCTATAATGCTCTTATAATAATATTATGTCAAACTTTATTTTAACCCTATGGAATGCAAATGAATAAATAAGTAAATAAATCTAACAAATTCTAACTCAATATTCAACATTAATTACACTGGAAATATATTACCTACTTTAATTTTTGGAATTAATATTGTATAACTTTAAGTTGGGCTAAAAAGAACTTCTATCCAGAGCCGTAACACATTTTTAAAAAAATGGAAATAAAGTGACTAGCATCTAAACTCATCAGATTAATTTTTGAAATCATGACATTGCTCTGTCATCGAAATTAATGTATATAAATGTCATCAACTTGATAACGAGAATTATTTGATAAAATTCTATTATCTTTGCTTTAAATCTTGAAAAAAAAATAAGACAAATAACCCTAAACAATTAACAGCACCATCTAGTCCCACGGTAAGCAGAGCTTGTATTATGGGTACTAGACAACTGATACAAATATAGACATACATAGATTTTTTATCGTAAATACATACATATTATATATAGAAAACACCCAGACCGACACAAACAGTCATACTCATGAACACAAATGCCGTGCGAGGAATCGAACCCGCGACTATCGGACGTAAAGCGGTGTGCTAGACCGCTGGACCAGCGAGGTGGTCAATAACTACGTAATATCCACTAACAGGTGAGCTGGTGACCTATTCATACGTATTTGCACTTTTCACATTGAAAAATTAAATGATAAAAGATGTTGTATGATTACCCAACCAAATATACGGTAGATGTTGCAAGAGTCTGATAAGAAGTTTATTACTAACAGATAACATAATCTTTAATAGGCGTGATATCTGTATAATGAGAAAAAAATTAGAAACGAACTGTGTGAGACGAATATCTTAGCATCCCATAGATCATGTGGGAGATAGGTACATCGTGTGGCCAAGAGGGAGACTCCGAGCAGTTCTAGGTAAATAATAAATAATAATCTCAGGACAATTCACGCAGCGCCATCTAGTCCCAAGTTAAGCTAGCTAAAGCTTGTGTTACGGGTACTAGATAACTGATACAAGTACATAGATTTTTTTTTTGTAAATACATACATATTATACATAGAACTCATGAATAGATAGTCATGAATACAAATGTTTGTGTCGTGCGAGGAATCGAACCCGCGACCATTGTATGTAAGGTGTGCTAGACCGCTAGACCATCGGTTTAGGGGTTTGACAAAAATCACGAACTATCACATGGGGGTAGCGGGTTCTAGTAAGACATCACGTGTATTTATTTTATGCCAATCAAAAACAATCTGCAACCTTTCTGTCTAGACATTTTTACCATGGTCCTTGATATCAGAATAAAATGAGATTATACTACTTTATAACTGTATTTAAAGATAATATTAAAAAAAATTAAGATTCTTTGTAGGTACTAAAAATACACGTAATGTTAAGTGGCGGAGGGGGGGGGGGGTAACCTCACCACGTATCACCAAGGGGGAGGGGGCGTTAAAAATACATAAAAAAAGATCACGTGGACGGCATTATGAACAGACCTAACCGAACAGAACAACCGTAACAAGATATCAAATCAAAGTACAAAGCGTAGGTAAATCTTATTGAAATATACTAATAATGTCTACAATCAACGAATACATACTAAATATATTGATAGTGTAGATATTTTTGTATATATATCCGTAGACGCTATTAAGGAAGTGAAGAAAATATCTGTAATAGATCTCCACTTGGATCTAATAGGATAATTGATTATGTAATTATAGCAGGGGCTCGGTAGAGACTTGGTCCATTCTATTTTTAAGTTTATTGTTATAACAAAACAGAAGTTCTATAGTATTCTTTACTTATATATGTACACAATTTTAAAGTACTTGACTGTTTACTTTGAAAACTAGTAATAAAGTTATTTATGCTTTGACTTAGTGACAAATTTTGTGTATTGAATCATATCAGTATATAAATCCGTGAACATATCTATGATCATTTATATGATCTGTATCGTCACAGATACCATCAATGATTACTTATGTATCATATTGATTGACAACACAATCAAATATGTATATTTTGCACTTAAAGCAAGCATATAGTGAAAAAAATTATCTTCCAAATTACTCATATGTTTTATTAAAGCAATCATTAGTATGCAGTATCATAAAAATATATAATTCACTAGAATAGAAAATCATTTATTCAAATAAACTTAATTTAAGCACTTTTGAATAGTCATAACAATTTGTTTTTTATCTACCACTAATTTTAATAATGCAATATACAAATTTTAATAAAAAATATATATTAAACATATTGAATCTTTACATAAATATGTGAAGATTTACAATAGTTCATTTAAACGACAACAGACAAGTTTCTTTTTTTTTCTTGGCTGCGTATGCATTCCAGTGACGATAAAATTAAAAAATATATCATTTTGTAAGTAGTTATAAGATTTGACAATGAAAATATCGTAAACAAGAGTTTTATTCTTTATAGTGAAATAATAATATAATTGAATTATAATTCATGAATTCTATGGGATTTGTTTTGTATAAAAGGATATAAAAAATAAAGTAAATAAAACTGTAGAAACCCTTTCTTAATGGTAGGTAGCCCTTGTAATAAAAGGAATCCATATTTAAAATTTCCGATTAAAATCTCAGTATTTTTTATTTTTAAATAAAGGAAATATAAATATGGTCATTTACATATGTTAAAGTATAATATAATATACTAATTAAATTTAAATTCTAAATTCAAATTAAAAAAACATTTATTAATGTAGGACATTTTAGCCGCTTATGAACGTAAAATTTTTATATTATAATTTTTCCCTACCGTCCAGTTCAGTCTATAGATCAAATTGAGAAGAACTAGCAAGAACCACAATTGAAATATAAATCTAATACGAAAGAAATTCTGTCATCCATGATGTTTTAAAAATTGTTAGTTTTCCTGTTGATTATCAAACCTACGATGGAAATGTCTTTGTCACAACAACTGATGGCTCATTATCCATAGAAACCATTAAAATGTAGGTCGTCAAGGTAAGAATTACTTGCCGAGAGCTTAATATATGCACTGCGAAACCAAATTAGCTCTGACAAAACAAATTCGCAACGGTTAGCCGTTAAATTCAAAACATCACTAAACACAATGAGCTATTACTGCAACAGCTTCCGTGATCCCACAAAACGGTATATTTGTTTAGTTAAAAAAAAACAATAAAACTAACATACTTAAATCAGTATTAGTTCATTCACATAGAATCCGAACGCACGTAAATTATTCGTTCTCGCGTCGAGTAGACGCGCGCGCGACGTCGAAGACAAAAACATACTGGCTCCATACGTCCTTCGACTTTCACTGCGCGCGATAATACTATGTAACTCGACTTGTTTGAATAGTCACTAGGGCTTCGTAGTTCGTCCTGAACGTCGCTTGCCTCAACCCGGATTCGTGAGTGCGATATTGTCGAACGCATAACTCAAATCTATTGTCCTTAGGGCGCGGTTTGCATAATGGCTTGTTTACGTGTATAATTGTTTTGTACGTGAGATATTACATCGATACGTGTACTGCAAGTTCTTGCTGCTTAATGAGCATTTACATACACTTTATGTAAATAATCCTTACCTAGATCTGGTGGATCGTGATAAAATTCCTTGCAAACGAAAAAATGTTTAATCATTTACAAGACTACATTGTTCATCTACAGGATCGTATAGATTTCTGAATCGTTATATTTGCGTATTTATAGCTAACTAACTACTCGCCCCAGCTTCGCACGGGTATACATGTATTACATATATAAACCTTCCTCTAGAATCACTCTATCTATTAAATAAAACCGCTTCAAAATTCGTTGAGTACTTTTAAAGATTTAAGCATACATAGGAGGAACGTACTGACAGCGACAACGACTTTATTTTGTTATGTAATTTTATTTATTTATTGCAATAATATTTCAACTATTCTGCCAATATTACAATTTACTTTGTAATTTTCCTTTTAGTTAAAATTTATATAACAAAAAAAATATGATACAGCAAAACAATTTGAAACTTAAAAAACAAACCTTAGAGTTAATTTTCCTATTTCACCCGTTTCTAAATAATGTATATTTGTTGAAAAGAGACATTAAGTAGTCTTTACTGCATTGGCATAAAAAATGCAACAACTTTAGTGGAATTTTTTATATTTAGTAGTATATAATTATTAATAGAATCCTAATATTGGCCTGCCCACCTTCATGAAAGAGGACTACTGGCCGAAAGGTGTGGTGTATCGGCGCTACCGTGGCAGATTGACGTCTTCAGTGCCGTGATCACATAGACAATATCATTGTATTAGTTTTTAAATATTATATTATATGTATGTTAGTCTATAAGGTATTTATAATATGGGCCTAGTTGCCTGAAATAAATGAATAAATAAAATAAATATATATTAATAGTAATACTAATTCAACTGAACGGTTACTGTGTGACGCAGTCCAATGTATATATTTTTGAAGATATTTTCGTAGAAACTGGTAGGTATAATCGTAACTTGAAAACCTAATTTTGCAAAAAATCTTTCTAGACTTTCAGAATCTTTCAGACTCTAGAGTATATATGTATGTGTTTATAAAAAAAACGTATTTAAAGAACAAAAAATATAAAATATCAACATTTTGCGCTATCTAGCCACCAGTAATGAAGTTATACGAGCGAAGCCGCGGGTAAAAGCTAGTAATATTATAAACGCAAAAGTTTGTGAGTAAGGGTGTTTTTTTTTATTAAATATATTTGTTTCTCTACTGTTTTTATTATCACATTTTTAAGGGTGTTTGTTACTAATAAAATATCAACATTTGCTACTTCAGCGCCATCTAGCAGACAGTTATGAAGTTATAAGAGCGAAGCCACGGGTAAAAGCTAGTAATATTATAAATGCGAAAGTTTGTCAGTTTGGATGTTTGTTACTCTTTCAAAAATTGCAAAAACTACTGAAGTGATTTTGATGAATCTTTAAAGTAATACAGCTTATGCCTCAGTATAATATATATTATTTTCTTGAAATTTAAGGCGAGTGAAACCGAGGGTAATTCTTGTGATTAATATTACTAAATTCCATGTTCATCCTCTTAATCATCCTCCTCGGTGGTATAGCGGTCTAGCACACCGCTTTACGTCCGATGGTCGCGGGTTCGATTCCTCGCACGGCACAAACATTTGTATTCATGAGTATGATTGTTTGTATCGGTCTGGGTGTTTTCCATGTATAATATGTATGTATTTACGAAAAAAAAAAATCTATGTACTTGTATCAGTTATTAGTACCCATAACACAAGCTTTAAGTAGCTTAACGTGGGTCTAGATGGCGCTGTGTGAATTGTCCTGAATGAAAAATAAATCATCCATAATAACATTACATATAACATATTATTCAAAAAGATTTATTACACTAACCCATTACGACCACTATTATTTCGCTAAAAGGTACGTTCAAGAAGCAATTTCCATAGAACCAGTACGCCTTGTATGCCGACACGGAACACTGTAGTCATGTCGGGCGACAAAATAAAAAAAACTCTTAAGTTCAAGGCCTAGTCTTGTGGCTGTTCGAGAAAATTCTTGCTTTTCCCAAAAACGGTATAATGTCATGAACAAAAACAGCAAACGGGGTATTTTATATCAAACGACACGATTTCTTAGCGTTGTCGCTGAAAAAAAAAACAACTTAGTTCCCGTACAAGTGATTATTGTTATTAAGGTCTTAAACAGTATATTTTTATCACGAGTTTGGGGTATTATCAGGTGCTTAGGATCTGTTGCACTGGGACTTGGAACTAGGACCTAGATCCACTGAGGAGTTTGGGCTATTATCAGGTGTTTTAGATCTGTTGAACTGGGACTTGGAACTAAGACCTAGATCCACTGAGGAGTTTGGGCTATTATCAGGTACTTTAGATCTGTTGCACTGGGAACCTGGAGACCTGGAACTAGGACCTAGATCCACTGGGCTCGCCCTTTTTCAAAGTTCGCTGCCTAGACCCGTCAGGGATAACAATTGAAGGATATTCTTAGGAGCGATGGTTTTTATCTCCTCGGGAAAGAGTGTATTTTTTTTATAACACAGGGGACAAACGAGCTCGCGGCTCACCTGATGGTAAGTGATTACCGCCGCCCATGAGCACCCGCAACACCAGTGGAATTGCAAGTACGTTGTCGGCCTTTTAAAAAGGAATAAGCTCTTTTCTTGAAGGTTTCAATATCGTATCGTTTCGGAAATACCATTGCTGGAAGGTGATTCCATAATGTGGTTGTGCGAGGCGAAAAGTTTCTAGAAAACCGCACTGTGGAAGACCGCCATTCATCCAGATGATCAGGATGGTATTTCAGTGTATACTTTCCAAAGTTGTTGTTGGAACCCCTAGCGGTGCCCTCAGACTAATGTCCGTCCGGCGGAAATCCGTCAGGTGGAAGTTGGCCTTCAGCCCCTCCATTCCTTTGGTTTGGAGTGCCATCTGCGCTTGCCCCCTATCGTCCGATGAAGCTATAAAGGCCAGTGCGGCCATCAGCTTTAGAATAGTCCGGAAAAAAACGACTCATTTGTGACTTACACGTGTTTGACTGAAGCTAGTTTTAATATTGTAAAAAAATTGAAAAAGACGAATTTCGTGTGTTAATGATACATTATTTTATGGGAAAAATACCGTCCAATCAAAAACTTGGCTTGAGGAATGTATGTATGTAATACGTAGTCGTGTCGCAGTCGTCTCGCGATGTATAAGAGGCGTAACAATATTTTACAGGGTGAACGGTCTGTGTAAAATAAAGTTAAGGTCGACACATTAATTGTCCACTGTTTTTACGTTGATACTATTTTGCACTTGTTTACGGCATGCAGCAATCGCCAGGGGTGAAAGCTAGTCAACTCATAATATGTATTTAAATCTTATATATAAAATTCTCGTGTCACAGTTTTCGTTCCCATACTCCTCGGAACGGCTTGACCGATTCTCATGAAATTTGTTTATTTATTTAAACTTTATTGCATTGTACAATAGGTGGGCTTAATGCTATTAGCATTCTCTACCAGCCAACCTTAGGGAGTGCAGAGATACTCGAAGGCGGTTTAGTAAATTAAATAAAAATGTATTAAATAGATATACATATTATAAATAATGAAATATAACATACATACACATAATATATGAATAATACATAATTTTGACGACCTCGGTGCGGTCATACTTGCGAATGCTGAAGATAAATCTAATAGAATTATTTAAAAGACGATCTAATTTATTGAGAAGATCTTCGTTAAGGTCGGGGTAAAACACATCAGCATAATCAATGATGGGAAGAATAAGAGATTGGATAAGAGTGACCTTCGTTTTAATAGGAATATTATATTATTATTATTAATTACTATCCAAAAATTCTCATCTCCCCTCTTAAGGAGAGGAGATGGCAACATACCCCCGGCAGAAGCACAGTCGGCCGGAGTTCAGGGAGGGAGAGAAACCGGCGTACAATGCGGGCGGAATCTAAGAGCACCGCTTTCTGCATCTTTCTCGGGAGTGAGCTGCCTCGGAATCCCAACCGTCTGCGATGTTGCTGCAGACTGGTTGGGATAAGATCGTTCCCCAATATAACGATTGGAATGATTTCGGTGGACCCACATTTCGGTCACCTCGTGAGCCAGGTCGAGATTTTTTCTCACTTTCGGCTTTCACGAGGTTCTCGTCATGCGCTATGGTGATGTCCACCAAAAACACCCTATCCATCACCACGATATCAGGTTTGTTCACATGAACGGTCCTGTCCGTGATGATGGATCGGTCCCAGTAGACCTTGACGCTGTTGCTTTCGAGGACCGGCTGGGGCTCGTACTTATAGTACGGCAACCTCTCATTCGCGAGGCCGTACTTCAGAGCTAGTTCTTGATGGAGTAGTACTTATTATTATTTTTTTTTATATATACATATAATTAGATGCTGCATGAAAATAATAATAATACTGAACAATACACACAACATCATCTAGACAAACAATCATACTTATGAGCATAAATGGTTCATCATACGAGAATCGAATCCGCGATCATCAGAAGTAAGGCGGTAAGCTAAACCACTAGGCCGTAAAAATATGACAAAAAACAGACATTTTTACAAATATTTTTATTGAAACATATCTTATTTCACTAAAAATCAATTCTTATCTTTAAATAATATCAAATTATTGTTGTAACTATATGTTTTTTAATGTTTACTATATTTTTTCAAGTGATGTAACAATAATCAGTGACAACTAACTAATTATATGAATAAAATCATCATGATCATCACCATAAAGTGAATTAAATTCTTTATTGTATACTTTGTCCCGGCTTTACCTTAACAATTTCTGGATGATTCGGATCACCATTACCTCTAACTATATATACTGTTTCTACTACATTATTATCATTAAAATTTGTATTATAATTATTGGCTGCACTTACAGCATTATAATGTATTTCTCTATTGTAAACATTGTTACTTATAGCAGGTGTATTTACATTATAATAATTAGGATCACTCAACACATGTGTATTTTGATAGTTAGCGTTATTATTGTTAATATGATTTATAGGTGGGAATGCATTATAATCAACATACTTGACATTAGTAAGTTGATCTGGAAAATTGAACCCTTTACCTTTCCTGTCATCAGTATTGTAATCATTTTCATTATCATGTTTTACATTTGTGTCCTCATCAGGGAATTTTAAAGCTTTTCCATCCCTAACATAATTCATATTTATATTAACTTTATTATTATCAGGAAATAGCCATTTTGGAGTTTCATTATCATCGAAGATTTCATCTTTATATCCTTTATCAGGATTATTTAGAATACGTTTTTGAATTTTATTATTTTCATAAGATTGGTTATTATTTTTGAATCTATTCTTATTAAATCCTTGGTTATTAATGTGTGGGTAATTAGAACCATAATTATTATTTACGAAATTGTTATTATAAAGATTATTATTAGGTATTTGATGTCCGTAATTGTTGTGTTGAAATCCATAACTTCCTTGATATGGTGGAATATGACTAGGCTGGTACAGTCCATAATTTTGATCTGCATATCCGGGATTAACAACCGGCTGATATAATCCATAATTCTGTGCAGAATTTAAATTGGGCGTATATAACCCATAATTTTGAGGTACAGAAAGTTGATTATAGAATTGCTCCACATTCTGCTGTCCAACCTGAGGATTTGGCACTTGAGGAGCATTGAAGAATCTAAAGAATCCGCCATTATGATTGTTGAGGTAGTGGACAAGTTGTTCAGGATCTGTTGGACATTGAGAGTAGGCATATCTGCAGGTCCCGGTATTGCCTTTGGAAGTCATCCCGAGGAGGACTGCCCGACCAAATACAAAGAGCGGGGATGTACTGATACCATTGTAGGCTGCCAGCAAACTGAAATGCAAAGAAATTTATTGAAGCAGTTGATCTACCAAACATTTTTTTGAGATATTATTTAATGGAAGGGATTTTAGACATTGGGCACATGAACAGCATCATGGGCATCATGTCATTATGTGACATCCGTGAAGCGTTGTTAATCTAGAGAACTAAGATTGAAATTTTACTGACTTATATGTACGCTATAACCGAAACAGTTTACAAAACAAGCTGTTTGTTGGCTGAAATTAGTGAGACTGCTCTGGTAAAACTTACGTGAGTAACGGCTGTAGTCCGCCAACAGACTGCAGCACTCCAGATCCCAGGGTTCCACCTCCTGCAGCCTCACACAACAGTCTCGGTACACATTGGTAATCATCATACAACGCAATAGAACTGAGAGCTCCCGTGATCGTTGACAGCGCTTGAGAAGCTGCTGAGGGCTGTGGTCTTCTGGGAGGACCTAATAATGAACATAATAAGTGGGTACAGTAATCTGGAAATTTGGATAACTCCTATTGTGAGATACTGGACATCCATCATCCGTCATATTCGTGTACGGTTAATGTAATGGGATGTTACGGGAAGAAGTCGTTAGGGTTACTGATTAAATTATTTCTTGTTGACAAAAAGGTTATAATAGCGGATACTGGTTTTGACTACATGCTCCCTATCAAACCCTATCTATTCAATATCTGTATTTTTTAATGTATACAAGGAAAAACTTAGATAGTTTCAAGAAACTTAAAGACTATACAAGTAGAAACTTACACAATAAAAATAAGTTACCTAAATGCCGTCTACACAAAGTTAGTAATTCATTTTATGGTAATTGCGTAAGATTCTATAATAAACTACCAGAATCTACGCTAAATCTGACAGAGAGGCAATTCAAATTTTATATTAAACAAATGTTATGTAAAATAGCCTATTATAGGATAGATGAATTTATAGATGATAGCAATATATAGCAAGTATAAGTTTATTTGCGGACAACGTTATAATTTATTTCATACTGCTTTCTTGATATATGATAGCGTAGCAGCTTTTGTATTGATTGCCGCATCCTCATGTAAAGTGCTAATACTGTAACTGCCATATAGTAATTTTTGTAGCTGTGACGTGGTCGAGTGGAATGAGTAGTCATGCTCACTAAAATGTCCAGACATGTGGCGGCGTGGTGGGCCGTGGCTGGCTCATCCGTCATACTCGTGAACGAGTGCTACTTGTAGGGACTGGTCTGCTCTTATCATTACGACTGATTTAATCTTATTGTGTTTTTATATTTGAGCCTAAATAAATTAGTGCTGGTTGGTAGTTTGTATTCACACGTTTCGACTTGTAAATGTGAATTTACAAGGATTGTTTAAAAGACCAACACACAAGTTTCTTGCTTATTCTTCTTGTGATGAGATCTCCGAATAAGCGGTAGATTAAAAAAAAAGTTGACTATTCAAAAGTGCTTAAATTAAGTTTAATTGAATAAATGATTTTCTATTCTATTCTATTCTATTCATCACACTCATTTGAACAGAATAAGAGCCGAGTCTCATGTCTCTTCCTCTTTGTTCGAAAGAACTTTAAACTAACTGTAGTTTTAACATATCATAGAGTCTGTAATAGACCTACATCAATGAAGATATTTAGATTTGATACAGAATAGCAAGATCCGAGTAAATTAACGCAAAGTCTACATAGAGCACTAGCAGTGGACGTGACTGCGTACGCGTGTGCAATTGTTGATCGTAATCAATTGATGATGACCAAACGACGACAATAAATAAATCATCTACACGTGCCATCTATTGTTTGATTGATAAATAGAATTGTAGATAGCGTATTGAAAACTTCACAAAATTCATTATCACCCAATTTGGTATTTATATCAACTTTCTTTCTGTTGACAGCATATTCCGTGAAAATATCATTGTAATTTCTCCAGCATTTTTACGTGAAATGTTAACAAACAAACAGTTAAGCCCTAAGGTCTTCGTTAAAAATCAACGTCGCAGTTAATGTTAATGTAATGTGGACTCTATTTTCCGCAATTGACCTATCATTTGGGCCATTGTGCGTGTAGAGCCGAGACTACTAAAGTAGCCAGCCAAGCTTCTCCCAGCAGCGCAGAAGCCACCTGGTGCCTTCACAGGCTTCGCGGAGCGACCTCACCGCTCCGAGGTTTTGTGTTCGTTGTGTGGCCACTACTGCGCACTCCAGGATTACGTGAGCAATCGTTTCTTCGGCTTCCAAGCAGCCCCGACAAAGGGAGACTGTCTGTGGCACCGATTGAGTTAACGTTGTAGTTTAGGCTATTGCAATTTGCTGAGCGGAGTCCTTTTTAGTAAAATTTTATAGTAGAACATTGGTTACTAATTCTTTTATGATGTTAGTGTGGGTGTGCATATGTACGTATACATTCTATTAATTCAGTATTTACTAAATAAATATGTATTATTATTAAATAAACGTTTAGTTTGGCTTTGAGGACGTTTTACCGAATTGAAAACGTTTGATCCTATTGCTAATAATGGACTTTCAAGATGTCATTATTCTGTATCCTGCAATGCAACTACTATATCTCATACTTGAAACCGGAACGTGATACTATCTTAATCAAAATTTCTAAATATATAATGTTGTACATAACATATTATATCTCTATTATTGTAGCGAACTCCTTGATAGGTTTTTATATTATTTTTAAAATTTATAATAATATTCTTTGACATATTCTTTATTTTTCACTTTCTATTATATATCGCTGTCATACTAGTCTCATTTTATTTAATCTCCATATTTTCCTCATTAAAACCCTCAACACCTCTCACTCATCTGACACATTTGATACCTCCGCTTCAATTATTATATTATGCAATATTGCTTTTAATCTCCGAGAGACATAATTGTAAAGAAACTTTCCTTGGAGCCCACCCTACCTAAGATTCTATGTCTTCTTTTAATCTCTGCTTCATGATTTCACATAAACCATTATTTCAAAACATACCGTGTCAATAAGCCAGAATTATGTACTTTAATTATGAAGTAATTATGTTTGCAGTGCTCATGTAACGGATATGTAGAACAAACATTAAACATTAAATAAAACTGTCATTGAAGTGCTCATTTACAAGAAAGTTTTGTAAAAGTATGCACATGTTGCAATTGAGTGAAACCGAATTTATAAATTGTTATGTACCGACGAAATCACATCTAAAAACACCTATACCAAAAATGTCCGTCTTTATTTAAGCACTATATTCACATATATTAACTAAATATTATCAATTTATTTACATAACCTCATTGTACAACTAAGAACCTAAAATTAAAAAGCTTAAAAAATATAATATAATGACTAAAATATATTATTAAAAGGGGTCCCTTTAGGCAACATTCCGAAGATACTGGCAGCGTACCCTCTTTGAATAGCTAGACTAATTCTTTGTCCGAGGTAGCTGCCATCTCTTCGGTCTTCTGTGATGTCGACTAACCTTTTCGTTATTTCTTTGAAAAGTCTTAGAGCGCTAGGACCTCACGAACCAAGGGTCTCGACACCGAATGGGATAAAATCATATTCGGAGCCTAGACCCCTGTATTTACATTTAGCACTATATTACATTTCTAATGGAAGAGGAAACGCCACTACTTCCTATGTGGTTAACCGAAATATCTCCTTTGGAAAGTACATACGCTATCCTGAGAAGATCAAGAAAAGTATACACTCTATCCTATAGGTGATCAAAACCCTCGCTTCTAAGAATAACATTCAATTTTTGTCCCCGACGGGCCTGGCCAGCGAACTTTAAAAAAAGGCGAGCACAATAAATCTATGCAGATCTCAGTGCAGTTCAGTAATAGCCAAACCTCTTAAATTAATACTTAACGAATTTCTTCAAGAGGTTGAATAGAACATTAAAAACAAACCACCTGATGGATACTTACCACCGATAGATGTATGGTATTACAATATTAATTAACGACGAGCGTTGACATTACTGAGGACTAAACATGATATTACGTATCCTGTAATTTCACTGACCAATCTTATGACTAAAATCAACATATTTGGTGGCAGAAATAGGCCAACCAGAGGTATCCAGCTCTGGCTATTCTTAAAGATGACATTGTAAAGTCCTCATTAGAAAAATATCTGAGCTTTTAATGAATCTTATATATGCATAAGTTTAATTAATCATAATATCGGAACTACTGTAGACTTGGATTTACATATATTTTTTAATAAAGTAACTCTACTTACGATAAAATTGTCCCGGTCCAACTGCATTTGGATAAGGATAAGGTACCTGACCTTGGGGCTGAGCCAATAACCCAGGATTGATAGGGTACTGCCCCGCTTGACCAGGTAACCCTTGAGGTAAACCAGCAGGAGACTGAATCCCAGGATATCCACCGAACTGATATCTTGGCTTCCTTCTACGTCTCCTTCTTTTCTTTTTCTTTGTTGGTTTCTGATTTTCTATTTTATTATCCTGTTGATATCCATTACCAATTTGATTGTAAATACCACTGTCTCCTTGAAATTTAGGACCTTGCAAATTATTGTCGTCAACTGTAAAAGGTTTATTATTGGTATCATCTCCAAATTTGAACTTTTGACTGGACTGTTTATTAAATTTGTCATTAAAATTTAATTTTTGACCCAAGTCATCTTCAAATTCGTCATCAAATTTGAATTTTTGACCGGACTGTTCCTGGAAGTCGTCATCAAATTTGAATTTTTGACCGGACAGCTCTTGGAATTCGTCATCGAATTTGAATTTTTGACCGGATTGCTCTTGGAATTCGTCATCAAATTTGAATTTTTGACCCGACTGTTGTTCAAATTTAATGAGTCCATATTGTCTTCTGGGTTTTATTTGCGTCACTGTATCCTCCTCAAATCTAGTTCTTGACTTAGACTCTCCAAGTGTTAATGCAGAATCTGGGTGAATGATTGTTTCTCTGTAAACATATAAATATTATAATTTATTACTTAATACTATTTAAATTATATAGGTAACAGCTAACCAGTAGTCAGGTGGGCAGTAACTACATATAATATTTAATGATGTAATGTAACTCTATACCTTCGTCGTGTTAAACCTTGACGATGCAATAATTACGTTAAACCTTAAAATGCAAACACATTTTGATAATTTTAATATTTCAGTTAAATTTTGCCCATTTACTTTGGTTGTCTATATTTAGTTGAGTTATAATTACATGTTTTTTTATATGTACAATAAGATACATATAATATGAGCAACTGTTTGCCTGAAATATATAAATAAAATGTTTATTATTATAATTAAATGAATAACATACGAAAATAATTCTCTTTGTCCCTATTAATGCAGTGTTTAGTTACAATTTTTTTTAAACTTCATATATGCCAGTTACTACATGTATTCTACTTGGAAATCATTATTTATTTATGTTTCATTCTTCATATATATATCATTAATTTGATAAATTTATCTGTCGAACATGTTCTATGTTTTTGCTAAAAATAATTAAATTAGTAGTAAAGTGAATTTGAACAGAGATAGAAATACGAGCGGCAAGTAGAATAGAATAGAATAGAAAATCATTTATTCAAATAAACTTACATTGAAGCACTTTTGAATAGTCATTACATTTTTTAATCTACCGCTCGTTCGAAAAGCTGTCTCATCACAAGAAGAACGAGCGAGAAACTTGCGTGTTGCTCTTTTAAATAATTTTATTATTACTTTACATTTTTAAGTTTAAGTGTGTGAATACAAACCACCAATTAGCACTAATTCTAAGTGTTGAAAAGTGTTGAAGTACGTCGGTAAAAGCCCCTTAAATCTACACTCTACCCACATCTTATACTACGATATAACAGGGTGTAGATTTAAGAGGAGGTTTTAGGTAGACTTACAATGATTTATCAGGGAATTCAGATTTGGTAGCATTCTCCTCTAGACCACTGACTGATGCGGAATGTATTGTAAGGATGACGACTAGTATGTATGGTCCCATAATTATTTTGTAACCTGAAAATTAATAAATTGTATTGTATTTCAATTAATTGTTTATATTTCAAACGGGGATCGAAAAAACGTCTTAATCCGAGGTTTGAATCTCTAGCGGTCTAGCTAAAGACGTATATTTAAATCAGTATACATATGAGAAAATATTACATTATATCTTCATTCATTCATAACCTTAAGAGCAACGCTCTTGTCGGTGGAGCTCTTTCCACTTTCTACGCTCTTTTTTTTTTATTCTTACATTTATTTAGGGACTTTTATCATAATATGATAATGCCAGTCCCATCGAATCTTATTACTAATCTTATCTTCTACTGTACAATAAAAATAATTCTACGATCTTCCATCCTACCCTTCAAGCCTTGATACGACACGACTCCAATTTTGTCTTTAATTTGCTTGATGTAACTGAGCCTTGGTCTTTCTCTCCCCCTCTTTCCTTCTATCTTTCCCACAATAATTAGTTTCTAAAATTCATCGTGCCGTATCAAGTGCCCCAACATTTCCTCTTCTACTTTCTATAGCATTCAATATCTGCCTTTTTTCTTTTACCCTGTACAATACTTCTTCATTTCTTACTTTATCTTTCCAGCTAATTCTTTCCATCCTTCTCCAGCACCACATTATATCTTAATCTTAATAATTAATATTATAAACGCGAAAGTCTGTGAGTATGGATGTTTGTTACTCCACTCAAAAACTGCTGAACGGATTTTGATGAAACTTTACAGGAATGTAGCTTAAGCATCAGCATAACACATAGGCTATAAAATATAGCCTATGTGTTATGATATATTGGAATTTAACGCGGGTGAAATCGCGGTCATAGCTAGTTATTAATAATTACTTTAATAAGTATTACCTGTGCTGTAGGCAACGGTTAGCACTTTCTTTTAGATCTTATTCAGCATATTTGATACTAGGCTGTACCCGCGTCCTCGTCCGCGTGGAATTAAACTTGATTTTTCTAAAATAAAAGTAGCCTAAGTTACTCCTTATTATATAAGCTACCCGTTAAAAAAAGTCCCGTCAAAATCCGTCTAGCCATTTCATTGATTGATTGACATTTGATGAGCCGGAACAATCAGACAGACAGATAAAAATTGTAAAAAATGTTATTTTGGTGTATGTACCGTATTTATATTCATATGCATGTATTAAAAAGCGGTTATTTCAATATTACAGACAGACACCCCAATTTTATTTATTTATATGTATAGACTACGGACATACTCTAGTTTTACGCGAGTAATCCAATTAATTTTCAAAAAATCTTAACGAATTATACACCTATAATTATTGAGTAAAACAATATATGCATCATGGCTCACTGGACACTGCAAATTGAATAAACACATGGGCAAAATTACGTCTCAGCGTAACAACAACTTGCAGACTTTACCAAGCAGATGAGAAAACGTCACTACACGTCCTATGTAGTTGTAGACCACTCATGCATAATCTATCTTCTTTGGAGTACTACCTTATTGGAACTTAAATTTATATCTGGCCGTTATTCTGTAGAAGACAATTTGAATTTTATATAAAGAAAATGTCTTCTATTGTTCGTAAGATTTTCTGTTGACATATCGTATGTGAGCCTTGTTACTTTTACCAAATATATATATTTTACTTTCTTATTTCACTATATTTACTGCCGCTGTGCATTCTACCCCTACATACCTAAATTTAAAAAACTGTGCCAATTACAGTGGAAGGAATACTTTGATGAGCGTTCAAAAACCAAAGGTATTTGGTATAAAACAATACAGTGTGATCCTCTTCAGATTCCCTGGTTTACTGATACAAAATTGAACAGATGTAAATTGAAATTATTATTTAGAATCCGATCCGGTCACTGTCCATCAAGAAATTACGGATATTTAATGAAAAAGGAGAATTCACCCGACTGTGTTGTGTCTCAAAAAGTCGAAGATGTCCAGCACTTCTTGATGGAATGTGATAGGAATAGAGTAGAGAGGGAACTATTTATGAAAGATTTTAAAATCAACAAATTTGATGTGGGTACTATTAAGAGCATACTACATGCCCCTACTACGGATATTGCTCTGTGTTTGTGTGCGCTGATAAAAGCAACTTAATAAATAGATCCCTCGCAGTTGGCAATTATTTGATTGTTTATTATTTTTAAGAATTGTTCCGATTAGTTTGCAATAATGGGGTTGACATGTCTGAAAACAAAAACCCCAAAATAAATCTAGATTAAAAAAAAATCTCCTTTGGAAAGTATACACTCTATCCTGATGAGATAAAAACCTTATATCCTTCAATTCCTGTCCCTCATGGATCTACGTAGCGAACTATGAAAAAGCACAATAGATCTAAGTAGGTCGCAGTGCATCAGGTCTTAACACTGGCTGACACTACGTTTAATGTTCCAGAGCCTATCTCATTATTATTAGCCGCGGACATGTTGTTTGATGTTTTGCTTCCCGACAAGATTAAGTTAGACCCAGGTAGATGCGTATTACAGAATACATCTTTCCGTTATATTGTTTCGGGGCCTAACCCGCTTATAGTCAGTGCGGTCGACTACGCACCGAGGAGTAATATCCGACATACGCGACAACGTCGCCCGAGGCACGTTCTCATTGACCCCGACGACCCCATAACGGCAGGTAACCTCCCCACGGGCCCACCCGTTCCACCCCGACCACACTTTTACACACACACACGACACCGTCCTCGCCGGCGAAGACAACGACCTCAAACACTCAATATCGCGCATTCAACCGGGCGCCTGCGCGCGTCCGGGCGCTCCAAACCGGCGCCCCTCCGATCGATCCCCCGTCCAATTCAAACGGGGATCGAAATTACGACGGCCTGAGCCGAGGTTCGAACCCCTAGTGGTGCCCTCAGACTAAAGTCGTATCCGTCAGGCAGGAGTTGGCCTTCAGCCGCTCCATAAGTCCTTCCGCGGGTTTGGAGTGCCATCTGCACTCGCCCCATAACGTCCGGTGAAGCTGTAAAGGCCAGCTACGGCCAATAGCATTAGAGTAGTCCGAAAAAAAAAAATTGTTTCGGGGGATAGCTCACAGCAAAGCAATTACTCATTTTATGCATATACTCGCATATAATAACTCGGCTGCTGTGGGAAATGAGTCAGGGTTGTCGCATCATCCCGTATGGATGCGACGTAAGAAGCGAATTCGGGAAACTCAGGATGTGAGACTAAGGTATGCAAGTTGGAATGTAGGTACGATGACTGGAAGAGGAAGAGAACTAGCGGATGTACTAAAAAGAAGACGAATAAATATGGCATGTCTACGGGATAATATGAATGTGGATGGATGTAAAGGGAGGGGACGCCCTAAGAAAAGATGGATGGATTGTGTGAAAGATGATATGAATAAGAGAAGAGTATGCTCAGATATGACGACCGATAGAGAGCAGTGGAAGAGAATGACATACTGCGCCGACCACAAATTATGGAATAAAGGCAATGATGATGATGATTCGCAAATCAATCAGTAGATAATATTTCAACTTACGAGACATAAAAACTCTTTTGTAATTATTTTAAATTTCAAATACGCATTCATTTGTTTTAAGAATAAAAATATTATAAGAGATGTGAAAATTCCTACGTTTCATTTATCTCCACAAATATTCAACTATGATTTATACAAACAACTAACAATAACCCAAAACCCTCAATAAAAAATACACCTAAAAAGGTTCAGGTGATCTCAGAAATACGGATGAAATTCTGTAAGTAAAGAAAAACGGCGGTAAACTTGTTACAAAGTACTGCAGTCCACATTTTGCTATATTAATTCTTCAAGGCGTTATTACAGGTACACGAATCGAGATCTCTTCTATTTAATAACATGCAAGTGGGTCTGTTGATTTTATATAGAGCTGTCAATATTTAGAAAGAAAATAAAAACGTAAACCTAACTATTAGAAATAGAAATAGAAATAGAAATAATCTTTATTCAAATAAACTCATTACAAGCACTTTTGAATAGTCATATTTTGATTCTACCACTCATTCGGAATGCAGATTCATCACAAGAAGAATGAGCAAGAAACTTGTGTGTTGCTCTTTTTAATAGATGTTTTTTTTTTTATATAAATAATTACAGTGTAACAAGTAAGAGGCATGCGACAATCAACATAGAAATCGCTACGCACTCATTATTAGTGTAATCAGATAATATTGTCAGTGCTATGTATTTAAAATTTTTCTAGAAAAACATTATTATCGTTAACGAATTCTTCAATTTTATAGTAAGCTTTTTTGCAAAGGAAGTGTTTTATTTGACATTTAAATCTTTTTTCTGGCAGATTTATAACAGACTCTGGTATTTTATTGTAAAACCTTACGCAATTGCCATAAAACGAATTACTAACTTTAGCCAAACGACATTTAGGTAAAATCAGTTTGTTATTGTTACGTAAGCTTTTATTAGTGCAATCACTAACTCTTTTGAAACTGTCTATATTCTTCCTGGCATACATGATATTTTCATAAATATATTGAGAAGCAACGGTGAGGATATTTGATTCCTTAAAGCACTCTCGCAAAGACTCCCTGGAACCCATGCTATAAATGGAGCGAATGGCCCTCTTTTGTAAAATAAATATTGTATTTATATCAGCTGCTTTGCCCCATAACAAAATACCATACGACATAATGCTATGGAAATAGCTAAAGTACACAAGTTTAGCCGTTGCCACGTCTGTTAATTGCTTAATTCTTCTTACCGCATAAGCGGCGGAACTAAGTCGACTCGCTAATTTAGTAATATGAGCGCCCCATTGCAACTTGGAATCTAATGTGATACCTAGAAATACAGTATCATCCACAAAATTAATAGGTTTATTGTCCAACGTGATTTTTGAATCTACCGGCCTTACATTGGGGAGAGTAAATTTGATACATTTAGTTTTATTTGCATTTAGTAACATATTATTAGCCGTAAACCATTTTAAAACATAAGAAAGAGCACCGTTTACTTCGTCCAAA